GACATGTATGAGATGCTCAGAAAGCCATTCGAACGATGAAGTCAAGATGACATGTCCGTGTGCTTTGGCTACTAATGGGACATGACTGGTTTGTCGAACTTCAATATGCCTCCTTCATCTATTTTACAGATGCCTACAGTCGTTTTGAATCAGATGTACTGAGCAGATTGGCTCCAAATCTTTCGGAAGTTGTTCTTCTGATGATCGCACAGAGGCATTGCTTCTGCGTAACTACAGTTGGCAGTTTCGGTCTACTATAAGCTGTTGCATCTCGAGGTCGCGGGAATTTTCGGGGATCTTTGTTTTGGCCACGAGGAGCAGATCTCAAGTTCAACAGTCGTATTCGTGACACGTCAAAATTCACGGCGATGGATATGTCCAAATCGTGCGATGAAGGAATAGACCTGATCCATCGGGTGGTAAGCTCATTCTTCCTGAATGTATAATATGACTATATCGGTTCTCCTATAGAGATCGAAATCTTTGGTAAAAATGCAGGGGGGGGTGGGGGGAAGGGGTGCAAAAATTTAAGTTGCTTTGCTATACAGGGTGGTCCAAAATTATGAGGACCAAGACATTGTGTCGTTAAAAACGCATAGTAGCTTGATGGAACAAACCAACTTCTGGGAAGTATTTGTAACTCTTACCTCAAAGTAATTCCAGAATAGAATTGAGATCTGCCACTTGCCCCGTTAACACGAGCCTTCGGAAGGGGGATGGCGCGTGCGGTGGCACGCAACTGAGGCGTGTCCAAATGTTTCCAGGCCTTCTGCTCTGCTTTCTTCAGGGAATCAAAGTTTTGTGGGCATTTATTTGCCTTGCATCCAGGGTGTGAAATACAGAAATCTAGAGCTATTAGGTGGAAGGTTCCATTGTAACAATTCTTCGAAAGCAACGAACTCGAAAAATCGCTTTTTGGAGGATTTTTGCTTTATTCTTGGGTGCTCGGTCCTGTAAGAAGTTCAAGTAGACTACTCGTGTGGCTTTCTATCCACTACAGATGTGGAGTCTTTAGAGTGTCTGGCTGGGTTTTCACATCAATTTTTTCATTTTGGGTGTACGTACGAAAGTCGACAAGGGGAGACCTAGTTTCTGCATCTGATAATTATCCTGGTGGTAACTGTAACTTTCGAGTCCCCGAATTTTCCATCTGTGGTGGTTCCAAACTTATTGAAGAGTTGAACTGTTGCTCATAAGAGCTTCCCTGATAGGTTAGACTGCTGCTAGATGTAACGTGCCAGAGCCCCTAGTGAGTTCAATTTGAGGACTGACTAAAGTGAAGTAGTTATTTCACTAGTTTTGAGAACTGCATGAAATTTGGTTTCATTAGGAAGAAGACATTGTACCCTTTCACATAGTGCACAGAAAAGGAGATGAAAATGGAGCGATACGGAAAAAAGTGGATATGACTGCGCGCGCACGCGGTCCTCATAATTTTGGACCACCCTGTAAAATTGCTCTAAAATTGCTTTGCTATAAATTTGCTATAAAAACGTCCAACTTTATCAAGCATCAAACCATGACATTCCATAATTACAAATTTCGAAGTGGCCGTTATCAGTTTAGAAACAGGCCTCAAAACGTTGACTGCTGTCATTGGAGGTTGGATGTTCTGAATCTTAAAATCATAAAAGCGTCATTTTCCTCACGCTATACCACTGTCCTCATAGTGTAAGAGCTGAAATGTGAATGATGAATTGACATGCACAGTAGTATTCACTCCTTCTCGCCTATAATTATTCGAGCGAGCAGTCACACTATTTCTTCGAAGGGCCTTCGAACAAAATTTTGATTGCGCTTAATATGTCGGTTTGTCTTGATATAGGAGGACTCGAAATCTTACCTTTCTTCGCAACCATAGCTGTACAAGTGTGATAAGGTCGACGACGACGCACGCACAAAATAATCCCCAAATTGTTATACAAGTCGTTGTACTTGGAAAACACTAGAGAGCATGACTCGGCGCCATAAGCCCAACTTGGTGGAGTTTGCTTGTAGTAATAGTTGCATCCATATGAAAATTTACGCTAAGCTTAAACTTAAAAAGTAAGAACATAAAAATTTACCTATGAAACACACGGATGAGTAGAGAATACTTATCACAACAATAAAAGCAATGATATAGAGTGATCTCTTGATAGTGAACACTTGTCGATATTTTATTGGATATGTGATTGCTACAAACCTGTAGGCATAGATTTTTCTTCTTAAAGCAAGAGATTACGATAAAGTGTGTGTGCAGCGTGGAAGTACATGCACCAGTGGAAGCAGTAGTCAGGGGCCAAGGAAAGCGAAATGTTGGCGTTTTTGTGGTCAAAGGTGCGCTTGCAGCGTACAAGGCTTGCCATTCCTTTCTGAGCTCCGCCACGGCCTGTGCTCCGCCCCCAGCAGCAGCGCCCTTCGATTATCATTTTGATGAGGTATTCCACTTTGAGTGCGTATCCTATAACTTTCCCATGGAACGCGTTACCAATCAAAGCATGGCCTTTGCTGGTATGATGGTGGCTATCGGTTTAACATGTGCAAAAGACCTCTATTGGCTAGCTCGTCCATTATCGGAGGTCAACGGGCAAAGAAAGGGGTCCGCGTTCTTGACGGATTTCTTTGCTTTTTTCGCCACTGGGGCATTATTCAGCACCTCCACTTCCACTCATGAACCCAGTCCAATCTTATCATCTTATCGTAATCCCTCGCTTTAATTACTCCGATTTTCGTAAGACCTATTGGCCCCCGTCAACCGCCGGGACGTTGCTTCTCTGCGTGAGCTTCACGTCTTCCGCTGTGGTCCTTCCACTTGTGTATAATAGAATGAGACTGAGTGTGCTCGATCGGTGTTTATATAGCCGTTGTGGGTGTTATCAGAATCACAACATCACATTAGGTAACACGGATATAGCCCTTCCTCTTGAAAGCAGTTGCTTCTCCCTCCCTGCATCCTATCCCACCCTTCCAGTCTTCTACCCTCTCCACCCCCGCTTGTTCCTCT